CCCCAAAACCCCAAAACCCCAAAACCCCTTCAATACTATTTATCAAGCTAATAGTAATTTTTAGATATTAAATTACTGGAAAACTTTCAATAATTATATGATTTCTTGACTGATAATATTTTATAATTAAATATATTATTAATGAGCAGTGTTTAATCACTTAGACCCTCAAACGCAGCATTTAGTTCATTTGCCTAGGGTGGGAACCAAACCATCATATCTCTAGACAAGAATAAATTCATCAAAGATGGATACGTACTTAAATAGGGAGTATTTAAAAGGTTCAATAATAAGTACCATATGATAGTTGAGGATACTTTTCTGAGATACGGAAAGGTTGGTAAAACCAAGATACATACTATTGATCTCAAAGATTCTGCTTCTATCATTCCAGATGCAAAAAGTAAAAGGCAGTTCAAAGTCAAGACACCAAAGAAAAACCTCCATTTCAGATGCGAAACTGATATTGATCAAGAAGAATGGGTTAAAATTCTTTCCACAATATCAGACAAATTTTAAGACAAAGAATTATCTATCCCAAAAATGGAAGTAACCACGTAGGAATAAATAAATACGTTTTAGTAACCAGCCTAAGCATCATCAAGAATTAAGTCTTCACGCAGTCAGAAAGGAATGAATCTTACCTCATTATCGGATACTTTAAAAAATTAGGATTCTGATCTAAATAATGCAATCCAGGGATCAGAGAAAACATTCTAAGATTTAGAGGGAGAGATTTCAAAACTTGAAGCAGAACAGGACATCAAGAAGTTCAAGGAGAGAGTTCAGAACATATTAGATGCATCAAAGAGGTTCAAGAAAGAGTAATCAACTGTTTTCAAGGTGATCAAAAGAACCAATAAAAATCTTCATTAAATCGTGGAATATATTGCTTTAAATGAGATTCAAAGGAATCCTGTGGAATTTATAAAAAAGGAATCTGAAATAAAATCAAGGGAGACTTAAAATTTAGGAGGCTAAGGGGATGAATTTTATTCCTTCGAAGAGGACAGTAAGTTGAATGGCGCTCATGAACCAGAATTCAAATCTCCTCATCCTGAAGTAACTGCCAAGGGCAATAAACTTAACTATTTGGAGGAGAAAAAAGATTCAGATATCAATGACGACGTAGTTATGACAGAGGGCTTGGATGACGTATTCCATGATGCCAACGATTTTTTCCCATCGGAATCTGTTCTTGTTCCTGGTGGCTAAGGAGGTATGATTCAAAATAGAAAAACCTACAGATAATCAGTGAAAGTTAATACTTCAGGTGGTGACACTATTCAGGAGGACGAAAAAGAAGAAGATTAAGATGACTAGTATGATCCTCCAACAAGGACTGTTCTGCCATTTTTCAAGGATCCGAAGAATAAAATTAGTGTGTGGACAATTCTCAAGGATTCAATAGGGAAAGATATCACAAAATTATCAGTTCCGGTTTATTTCAATGACCCAGTTAATATTCTTCAAAAGTGCTGTAACTCTCAAGAATATCATGAGATGCTTGAGTTGGCAATTGCAGAACCAGACCCAATTAAAAGACTAGGTTTGGTTAGTGTCTACTCAATTACGATTCTAACAAATATTGAGAGAAATTCCTCTAAACCTTTCAATCCGTTGCTTGGTGAGACATTTGAATATGTAGACGAAAAAATGAGATTTTTCGCTGAATAAGTTTCTCATCATCCCCCAGTAACTGGCTTCATTTGTTTTGGGAAAGCTGGATATAGAATTTGGTCAAATCATAAATAGAAGTCTAAGTTTACTGGAAAGTCTCTGAATTTTATGGCATTAGGAAGAATATATGTTGAACTTGATGCTACAAATGAGAAATTTGAAATTCAATAGCCAGTTGTTAGTGCCCATAATCTTATTATTGGAACACCTTATGTTGATCTTGGAGGTAAGTCAATAATAAGAAATTGCAGCAGAGAAGGAGAATATTGCGAGCTTGAATTCCACAAGAGAGGGTGGAGTGCATCAAGTGCTTTTAAGCTTGACGGCGAGGTATTTAATAGCAGGAAAGAAGTTATATACAAAATTGAAGGAAAATGGAGTGAAAGAGTGAACCTAATAAATAACAAAACAGGAAATAAAGAATACACCTGGATAAAGGAGGCATATCCTGAAAACTGGGAGTACATGTATGGAATGACTAGATTTGGATTATAAATGAATTATTTCCCAAATTTTATGCAAAAAATAGTTGCTCCAACTGATACAAGAAGAAGACCAGACTAGAGAGCTCTTGAGAATGGAGATATGAAACTTGCTGGATTTGAAAAGAACAGATTAGAAGAGAAGTAAAGAGCAGTCAGAAGGTACAACGAGAAAAATAATATCTTATATAAGCCAGTCTATTTCGAGGAAAGATTCAATCCTGAAGATAATCAAATGTACTTTATGTACAATGGTACTTACTTCGAAAAAGATAGACCAGAATAAAACTGGGCTAAACTTCCAGATCTGTATAGTGAAAAACTTCCTACTGAGGTAGAAGAATTTGAAAAAAAGAAAAAGTGATAAAATGACATTAAAGGCTAAACAAATCATGTGTAAAATATATTATCAAAATACACACAAATTTGATTTCCATCCTTACAAATTTTCAAATTTACTTGACCAACGGGGTTTTGGGGTTTTGGGGTTTTGGGGTTTTGGGG